TTAAAATTTCAAATAACATAATAATCATAAAATTAACATTATTAATAGTCATAAATCATAACTCATCATATAAAATTAAATACAAACCATGCTAAAAGTCCAAATAAAAAATATCAATGTTCCATCATACAAAATTAACTACAAACCATAATCAAAGTCCAACTCCAAAATAAAAAGTTTCAATGTCTCATCATACAAAATTAACTACAAACCATAATCAAACTCCAAACTTCAAAATAAAAAGCTTCAATATTTTATCATACGAAAGTCTTGCAAAATAAACTTAATTAGAATCTTGCACGGAAATGTCAATAACAATTTCTTCTCTTTGCACATCCATTTTATCTCCATCTACAAATAGGGAAAAAAAGTGTTAGGATGAGTTATTGTAAAAATAAATAAGAAATTTTCATTATAAAAATTACCTAATTCTTCAAAACCATGTAACCAATTTTGAGTTAGAATGAGTAACTCTACATTTTCAGGAAGAATGGTAGAGCGATACTTAGTTAGCACTCGAGACCCAAGACTAAAAGCAGATTCACTAGCAACTGTAGTGATTGGAATACTCAGCACATCACAAGCCATCCGAGAGAGGTTTGGATAACGATCATGACGATCCCTCCAATAAGCTAACACATCTAACTTTTCATGAAACTTTGGATCAAGATTTCCTTCCTCCAAATATAGATCCAATTCAGATTTTCCATTAGCAGTAGCATTTTGGCTCAAATAATCAACATATTCCTAAGAGATTACAAAGAAAAATAAATTCAATATTCATTATTCAATGATAATTACTAAATAAAAATGAAATTAAATAAAGTACTTAAAAAAATTATTAACTTACATCAAAGGTATCAAGTACTTGCTCATCATCTGTATATGAAATTGGTTGCGATGGAAGAAGAGACACATTAGAAGTTGAAGCATTTGACTCATTTGATTTTACTTTCTTATACTCTTCAAACAATTCATAAATTTTCTTTCTTAAAGCACTAATTTTCTCTTCAGAAGTAGAAGGTTCAATTTTTCTATAAGCAAACTGAATAGCTCTAAACTTCATTTGTGGGTCAAGAATAGCACCAATGGCAAGAATCTCAGAATAATCATGCCAATACTTTGAAAATTTAGTCATCATTTTTGAAGTCATCTCTTTAATCACTAGATCTTCACACATAACAAATTCACGCAACAATTTTTAAATTTTCCAAACTTGCATAAAGTACCGATTAGATGTTGGATAAGTGGAGCCTGATATTAAATTTGTCATGACGCCCGTTCTGGGCCTGAAAAATCCACGTAAAATTTTGAACTAGAACCGCCCGTTCCGAAACCAGAACGGCCCGTTCCGAGACTCATCCAGAACGGCCCGTTCTCCTTGCAGAACGGCCCGTACTCCTTCCAGAACGGCCCGTTCCAAAATCAGAACGACCCGTTCTCCTTGTTGGAACGGCCCGTTCTGGACCCGTTTCCAACTTAAAATTTAGTGTCTTTTTATTGCTTGGAACGGCTCGTTCCAATTTTGGAACAGCCCGTTCCAAGTTACCCATTTACCCCTTAAACTTTAATAAAATTACGAAAATACCATTAATAAAAATTACAAAAATACCCCTTTAAAAAAATGAATATTACAATTTTCATCCAATTGAGACTAATGGTGTTAATTTCTTATACACTCAACACAATAAAAAAATGACTTATATCACCCTATATACAAAACTTGAGGAATTTTAGTCTCAATTAGGTGTAAATAACCATATTACATCTTTTTTAAAAATTAAATCACTAAATTGAACCTTTAATAATAGAGAGATTAAATTAAACTAATTAAATAAAATAAGGGACCAAAAGAGCAATTTAGCATAACAACAATTATTTTAGTCCCTCATAAACATTATTTGCACCAATATCACAGACAAATTTGTGTTAATTGTTCAACATCAATCAAATTTAATGTAATCTTTTCATTAATGAGCACATTATAAGTGAATTTTGTTCAATAAATTCAATACCATGTGAATTTTGCTTGAAAAATTTACTAAAAATAGTTGTGTGAAATAACTTAAACTAATTTCTTTTATTCCAAATTATAGAGAAAAAAAAATTAAATTTAAATATGAGTAAACAAAATCAAATTGACCCTATATTTAATAGAGGAACAGCATATTTAAGTTTTGATATTACTAGCTAAATTTGATTTTCTCTATGAACGTATGTTTAACTAGAAGTAATAAAATGGTGAAAAAAAACTAGAAGTAATAAAAACAACTTTTACATTGGGTTGAAAAATTTACACAAGATTTTATAACAAACTTGTTTTAATGATGAAAACATTCAAACATAAATTACTTCCACTTGAAAATAAATTTTAATAAAAATTAACTTTATAAGCATTCATCCAAATACTCTAATAAAGCTTTAATTTTAGGAAAAATTATGCCTAAATTAAATTTTTTCTAATTTTTTTAAATAGATACTATACTGGACCGATTTAAGGACGAGGTCAATAAAATTCTCGCTTTAACTCCTTTTTAAAAAAAATATTTTATATTAATATTTATATAATTTTTTTAAAATTTTATAACTTAAAAGTCATTTTTTACATTCTTAAAAATTCACTTAAAAAGTTCTATCTTTAAAAGATATATAAATATAATTCTTTTTTCACAATATATCTCTAAATATTTTCATTTGTTTATCCAAAGATATTATTAATTTTAACAAAAAGTCGTATTTTAATATTTATTTTAGACTTAATAATACGTTAAACTATTCATGATACTATACATTAAAAAAGAAGAAGAATAAACTGAAGATAATTTTTTTTTATTTGATTGGATTTGATTTTGAAGATTTCCAATTCCACCTGAAATGAACTTAAAAAGTTCCTTTAGTTAAAATGAACTAAAAAAATCCAATTACATAATTTGTTTTTAATCTCTTAACATTGTCTTCCAGTAAAAATGAGGATTTTAAGTAACTTGATAAATTTGAACGAAGTATGTTTTAGATAGCATAATATTATTTAGGTTAAATTATATATTTTTCTTTTATTTTTATTTTTAGGTTCATTTTAATTATATATTTTTAAAATATTTATTTTAGTCTTTTATTTATTAAATTTAGATTTATTTGAGCTTTTGAAATAATGATTATTTTTAATTTTGAGAGACAATTTTAAATCTTTGATTGACAAATTTAAAACTTATCTCTTTAGATTCACCTATATGAAAACTATAAAATTCAATTAATGTTTAATAAAAAAAGTTATAAAGATAGTGAAAATTATGTAAAAAAAATATCATACAAGCAATTAAAAAATAATATGATATTAAATTTTTAAAATTATTTTTACTACTTTTTGAACTTATTTATATGCAATTTTCTTCATGTTTATAATACTTTTTAGTTTAAACTTCAAGTTGTTTAATAAATTTTATATAGATAAATTTAATGAGATAAATTTTAAGTATTAAATCAATTTTTTTTTGGTGTTGTGAAAAAAATAAAAGACAAAAAACAAGAAAGAAATGAAATTAGTGTAGAGAATAGAGATCCTCCCCGTACACTTGAAACACAAAATTTGGAGGACTCCCCCATGTTACATTTTGAGTCCCTAGTCTAATTTCTCAACTTGCAAGAACATGAGCTACTTGATTAATCTTTCTCGGGATCCCAGTAAATATAACCCACCAATCTCTCTCCACCAAATATTTGATATTATTGATTATGTCTCTATATTTATAAACAAGATTCCTCTCCCAAATAGCGCGTTCAATCAATTAATAAAATTATCTCTCAAAATTAAAAATAATCGTTGATTCAAAAGTACTAAATAAATTCAAATTTAAGAATTAAAAGTTAAAATAAATATTTTAAAAATAAAAGATTAAAATAACTTAAAAAATAATATAAAAAACTTAAAATATGATTTAGCTTATTATCTGTATATTTATTATAATATGAATGATAATTAATTTTTTTTTCTCTCTTTATTTTATGGAAAATGTTAAGTCACAAGGTTGATTATTCAGCCTGATGATGATTGAAGATTGCTTGGTTTTTATTTCTTTTAGTTATTAGGATCACTATGTAGTGGTTGTCTGGGTGATATGATTTGATGTTGAAAGAGATTTTAAGAGTTTATCCCTTTTCTGTATGTTTTCTTCAGACTTCAGTAGATGATGTTCTTATTCTTGTTATCTAAATTATGTCAAAAAAAAAAATTATTGTTATCAAAGTTATATATATATATTTTTATCAGAATTGTATTTAAAATAAATATGACACAGGCCACTTACACTAACTACCGGGGGACTGTGTATTTGTGGTATTTAAATAGGGGTATCTCACACATCTCTATTTATGGGATTTAAATAATTAAATTGTGTTTTCTAGAGAAATTGTATTTAAATAGGGTAACTAAACACATCTATTTGTGGTATTTATGTTACAGATAATTTCGCATGATTCTTTTAAAATGAATAGGTGTAATTTATAAAATAAAGTGTATTTACAAATTATTAATTATAAAATTAATGATTAAGATTTATAATAAAAATTAAATTTTTTATAAAATAAAATTTAAAATTAATTATAATATTAATTATTAATTCTTTTAATTAATAATTATTATTATACTTTATTTTTAAATAGTGTAATGTTTTTTACTTTAGTGGAGGGAAAATGGACTATGATGTGCACATTTGGTGCGGAGGACATCAATGAGCACTTCAAAAGCTTCAACACAATTTGTTATGCTACTCAGGTAGTTTCGGTACTTCTCTTGTCTTTGATTATTTGTTTATTAGTTAAAATGTGAACATACATAATATATTCATGACATATTAATGGTCCTTCTTTTTTTAATGTTTTCAGTCTGATCAACAGCTAAATTGAATTTTCTTTTAGGAGAGAGAAGATGCTAAGTACAAAGTACAAACTGGTTGAGGAAGTTCTGGTTCTATGGAAGTAGTTGGTGACTTGGTGTATCGAACTCTAGAAATACGCACACCAGCAAGAGATAGGTAAGTGTTTGGCATTCTATTGATGAAGTTAATACCTAACACTCAACAAATTTACTTTATGTAAAATTGTGCATCAAAAAGGTTAGAATAAGAGAAAGACAATTTGGAGTTGAATTACTCTCAAATTTATTATATATTTTTTAAATAAATATTCAATTTGATTTCTAAAAATCGGTAGAAATAGTTGTTAAGTTTTATAAACTATTGTAAAAATAAATAAGAAATTTCTCATTATAAAAATTACCTAATTCTTCAAAACCATGCAACCAATTTTGAGTTAGAATGAGTAACTCTACATTTTCAGGAAGAATGGTAGACCGATACTTAGTTAGCACTCGAGACCCAAGGCTAAAAGCATATTCACTAGCAACTGTAGTGATTGGAATACTCAATACATCACAAGCCATCTGAGAGAGGTTTGGATAACGATCATGACAATCCCTCCAATAAGCTAACACATCTAACTTTTCATGAAACTTTGGATCAAGATTCCCTTCCTCCAAATATAGATCCAATTAAGATTTTCCATTAGCAGTAACATTTTGGCTCAAATAATCAACATATTCCTAAGACATTACAAAGAAAAAGAAATTCAATATTTGATGATAATTAATAAATAAAAATTAAATTAAATAAAGTACTTTAAAAATGATTAACTTACATCAAAGGTATCAAGAACTTGCTCATCATCTGTATATGAAATTGGTTGCGATGGAAGAAGAGACACATTAGAAGTTGAAGCATTTGACTCATTTGATTTTACTTTCTTATACTCTTCAAACAATTCATAAATTTTCTTTCTTAAAGCACTAATTTTCTCTTCAGAAGTAGAAGGTTCAATTTTTCTATAAGCAAACTGAATAGCTCTAAACTTCATTTGTGGGTCAAGAATAGCACCAATGGCAAGAATCTCAGAATAATCATGCCAATACTTTGAAAATTTAGTCATCATTTTTGAAGTCATCTCTTTAATCACTAGATCTTCACACATAACAAATTCACGCAACAATTTTTAAATTTTCCAAACTTGCATAAAGTACCGATTAGATGTTGGATAAGTGGAGCCTGATATTAAATTTGTCATGACAAAAAAAGGCTTCAAGAACTCGCATATTCTTGCAGCCATATTCCATTCATCATCCGATGGGCAATGAACATAATTCCTATCTCGAATAGCCAAACAACCAAGTGCACGTTTGTATTTAATTACACCATCAAGCATAACATAAGTGGAATTCCATCTAGTGGGCATATCCATTCTCAAACCCACCTTAGTATCAATACCCTTCACTTGAAGCACACATTCTTTAAAAGCAATCTTTCTAACTTCCGATCCTCTTACATATTTTATACTCTCTCTAATTTTTTTCAAAGCACCGCTAGCTACCCCCAAACCCTCTTGAACAATGAGGTTCAGCATATGTGCACTACATCTCACATGAAAATATGAGCCATAACAAATCAAATTGTTTTGAAAATTAAATTGTGCTTTCATAAAAGTTACCATTGTGTCATTGGCACTT